AGCAAATCCTCACCAGACATCAAATCTGCTGGCACTTTGATCTTGGACTTCCCAGCCTCCAGAACTGTGAGCCATACATTTCTGTTGTTTGTAAATTACCCATTTTAAGATGTTTTGTTATAGTATCCCAAATGAGACAGCCAGGTGGGAGGGGAGGTCCATGGAGAAACTCCATCCAGCCTGTCAACTGAGGTGGCGCCTGGAGAAGTTCATGACATTTGCAGCAGGGAGGAACCTGACACCTCCTCTTCCTGTGTGGGTCCTGGGATTCAAATGGCCAGCTGGGAAGTGCTCTAGCAGGTACTCTGGCCTTGTGAGAGTCCCTGTTTCCCCTTTTCTTCCATTTCACTCAATAAAACCCTGTCTTACTCACCATCCAAATAGTCTGTGGGCCTGAATTTTCATGGCTGTGGGACAAAGAACCCTGTCTTTAGCAGAACTAAGGAAAAGACCTGCAACACAAATAGGCTAAAACAGATAACATATTCACATGTCCAGGGATTAGAATGTGGACATATTTAGGGGGCCATTATTCAGCCTACCATAACTGCACACCTTCAGTGGCATTCTTTTTGTGCATAATTTTGTACTAATGAACGGGGCACACTTCTTGCCATTGATGAGCTTATGATTTAGGGGAGAAGGCATAGAGGCAGACAACAAACAATTCTACAGGGTGAGAAAGGACTTTGGGAACCCAGAGAAATGGTATATAACTTTGTCTAAGAGGTTGAGGAAGGAGCTCCAGGGGAGAAGATATTCATGTTGAATTTTGAGGTATGTGTAAGAATTAGCCAGATGAATAATAAGAATGATAGCAGTAGTAATAGCAAACATTTATATAGTCATTACTATCTGTCAGGTAGTGTTTTAAGCACTTACCACATTTTAATGCATTTGACCCTCCCAACACTAAATAAGGCCCTTATAAGAGACCTTATAAGTACTGTTATCGGTCATCTCTGTTTTACAGATGAGTGTAACAGTCAAGGTTCTCCAGAACCAATAGAGATGATAGATTGACAGATAAAAATATATAGGTTAGATATAGATTTATGAGGGGGGGTTTATTATTTATTATTGTTCATCAAAATGAGTAAACTGAGATTGAGAGAAGAGAATGCATTGGTTAAAATGTAGGCCCTTCCCATTACTCTTAAGGATCAAAGTCCTTTCTGTGGCTTGCAAGATTCTTGATAATCTGGTCCCTACTACCACTCCTGCCCCAGTCCCATTCCCCTCTCCACTGCTGAGTCACTGAGTTCCTCGCAGCCCCTCAGCTGAAACATCGCTCCCCTCCACTCTGGCCTTTTGCCCGTGCTGTTCCCCTGGCCTGGGATAGGACACACAGTCCTCATCCTTCAGATCTCGGCTCAAATACCACAGTCTGAGAAAGGGTGTTCCTCCTCCTCAGCCAGGCAGGAGCTGTTGCTCATTGTCTGAACATCCTGCACTTGACCTTGACAGCACTCATCCCAGCTGTATATAGCCATCTTTGTCATCCTCTCATTGTTTCCTTAGTGACACAAATATTTGCTGACCCTATGAAAAATGTAGGGGCAGGTGAATGTCTAGGAGTCCACAGGAGCAAGACCATCAGAGGCCATCTAGTCTCACGCATTCCTTTAACTTCTGGGAAATTGAGAGGGCCAGTGACTTGCCCAATATTACAAAGCAAATCAGGGCAAAGCTGACGATTCTGACTCCTGGTCCTGGATCACTTCCATTATTCCTGGTGGGATGCTCTTTGCCTCACTCCAATGCTACCTGTCCAAGTCTGCTCTATCTTCCATGAGACAGCTAAGTCCCAAACATGTCTAGGATGCCTTTCTTATTGTAGTTCAACCTCACCCAACAAAGTTAGAATTGACTGCTCTTTTCTCTGTGCTCCCCAAACACCCTGCAGATTTGCTCTTGCCCTTCTATGCTCTGCTTACACCTGAGCTTTTCCAAGGCAGGCACCATGCCAGATTCCTCTGTACCCATGGAGGCTGCATGCAGCAGTACAAATATGGTATGTGAGTGTGCTGTAATACAGGAAAATAGAGAGATGTGGGATTGTCAAAGAATCCTTAATCCAGCCAAGGTCAAGAAAGGTTTCCAGTGGGCAGTGAATCCTGAGCTGAACAAACAGGATTGGTCAGGTGGGTGGTACATGCATGCTTTGAGAAAAATGTGGGTTTGGGGTGGAGGAAAGGGCATTTTTAGGAGAGGAACCCTAATATTTGTGGAATAAGATGATAACTAGTTGCATAGAGTGATGTAGAGGCTGAACAACTCAAAACCCTTTTAAATTTCTCAGAGATTCAAATGAGGAAGTTGAACTGACTTCCAAGGGCTTTCCAGAGCTAAGTAATCAGGCAATGACAAGGCTGATTGTGTGACAAGCAAGAGAGGACTACCCTTTACAAATGGTTTAATTGGATTCATTTCCCGTCTTGGCTGAGACAGAACTTTTGATTCTTTCTTGTTCCTACAGCCAAGAGGAGTAGGGCTTAGAAATATTTGCCCTTTACCAGATATTTACTTATGAACCCAGGGCCCTCACTTCCCTGCTTGAAAGCCTTCTGATGCTCTGCCTTCCTAAAGATGTTCCCTGGCTCAGCCTGCATAACCAACGCTTTCCCTCTTATTCCTGTGCTCTCCCTTTCCACTGTTGCCCGCCTAAGCTCCTTAGTGTGTCCTCAACCCCTTTACTCTGAGGCAAAATCCCTGTGACTCTTTCATGATGCTCCCAGCAGTCTAATTATCAGCAGTGAATAAGATGGAGTGGCTGACACAGTAATGGCCAGACACCAGAGGAGGGACCAATGGGGTCTCTGGTTGCTGAGGGCAATCAGAGATTCTGCTGGTAAGTGGCTGGAGTTATTGTATTTCAAAAGCAGCTTAAGTTCCATGAGGCCAAGTGAGATTCCCAGCAACTTATTTCCACATGTATTCCTAGTATTTCTTCCCTCTCTCACTTGAAGTGACCAAACAGGATTTCTTGGTTCTTTGCATATAGGGGCATGCACCAAACCCACCTCTCCCTGCCGAAGGGCCTGGCCCAAGTGTTCTTATGGGAACTCATTCTGGCCATTGTTTAATTCCTGCTACTCTTCATTCAGTGCCAGGAACTTGGCATATTTTACTTCTAATCCTCCCTTCTCTGATCAGGAATCTCAGAGACATTAATTTTTTTTCCCCTGGGACCCAAACCCAGAACTTCTTCAGTAGAGCTAGTCCTCTTTCCATCAGGGCAAACTCTCCTTCCTTCCTGGGTCCAAGAATACTCTTACTCCCCACAGATTTTAAAAGTCTCCTAAAATTCTCCCTACAATGCAGAAGGTACTCTGTGGCTAGAAGATTGTTCCACAGGTCTTGTCTTTGTAATAGAACTCTAAATTTCCTCTCTTGCTTTTTTGGTTTTCTGTTATAACCCATTGCACAATTTCATGCACAAAACAGGTTACCAAAAAAAAAAAAAAAAAAGCTAGACATGTTTATTCATCGTCATGCCCCTAGCTGAGTATCTGGCATATGGCAGCTGTTCAGTGTAAGGGTTCTAGTGTAGACACAGTTTAGGCTGATTTCCTCAACCCCCACCCTGCTGTACCTCAATACCTAGGTAGATGATCAACAAATGGTGTCACATTGAAAGCCATCAATATGGTTTAGTAGAAAGACGTTGGATAGGAACCAGAAGACTTTTGTGCAAATTCCCACCCTGCAACATACTGTGCAACTTTGGGCAAGGTATTTAACTTCTCCGTTTTTGTCAGATGTAAAATGGGGATTATGTTATATGCCTCCCAGGATTGTTCTTAGGATTCAGAGGCAATACAGATAGTGAAAGAAGTGGCCACTATGGTGCTCTTGGTCCACACAGTGGACCTATCTGTGGACCACAGTAGGACCTATCATCTGGGGAGACCCTTGGGGCCGGCTCTGAGGGTCCTTAAGTTGGCTTGTTAACATTCTTACCTGTCTGTTCTATCCTCAACTCCTTTCTACCTCAGTGACTTTTGGTGGTTAAAATAGACCTATTAAGAAACTAATTTCATGTTTAAATACTGCTGAACAACAGTGCTGAAAAACTATCACTTAGTTTTCCTTTGTTAATTTGCTTATAAACCAGTGTTGTTTGGTTTGTTTTTCCATTAAAGATTTGGGGAGAGGGTTAGATTCAGGCACAGTACATTAATATAATTTCCTTTATTTCTTATATAATAGGACTTGTCTCACCTTTAGTTGAGGTGTGGACCACTTGGTAACTGTTTCGGATCTAATTCTAACATAATTGACTTGGAGCCAGGGTATATAACTGGGGATCTTGGGGGTCAGACAGACCTGGGTTTGAATTCTGGCTTTGCCACCTACTTACTCACTTTCACAAAATACCTAATCTCTCTGAGTTTCTTTTTGTTCAATGTAAGTGAGGAATGATACCCCTCACTAAGACTATATACATAGAGTGCCTGGCATAAGAAAAACTTAAATGCCAGTGCTCTTTCTAGAAACAATTTTTTAAATCTTAAGGACTTTGCTGAAAACTGTTTAAAATAATTACATGGCACACTGGAATGTCATATGAGTCCACTTTGCATTTGAACCACTAGTAGATTAAGCTGAACTTGCATAGAAAAACCTTTTGGGAATTAACCCGGGGTTGGGAGATTTTAAGCCAGTTTTCATTCTGCTGCCGAAACAAAAAGGACGAGACTGGAGAAACACTATTCCTTTAATTGAAGGAACACTTTTATGTTCTCAGGTCTATTTTAATCTTAAGTGCCGATTATGTGTCATTCTCTCCTGTTAACAGACACTTCTGTAAGTGATCTGCACAGAGAGAAATATGATTCTTACATAAATACTGTACCATGAGAAATTATCTTATTACCTAATATGCCAAAAAGCTAATAAGATAAGGGAATGGTACGAGTCATTTTTGGACAATATTAAAACTTGATTTCAGCTCATGGAAATAAAATGTAATTTCCTTTTATTATTCTCTTCTTCAGGTAGAACAAAGGCAGTGAAGGGTGCAAGGATATTAGAACTCTGTTCTGTGAGCTTTCATGAACGCTGTGGAAGGATCCAGGCAAGATGGCCTCAAATTAAGATTTTAATGACTCTTTGGTTTAGAAAGCACACTCTTGTTGTTAATGCTATCTTATCAGGTGTCTTTTTTAATTTACAGATGAAAGTTTAAAAAATTCATAATTACACAAACACTTGCCTCTGTGTGTTTGCATGTATGTGTCTGTTAAGGAAGAAATGCATAGTGCCTACAGGAAGTAAGGGCAAAATAATTTCAAGGACTGAGAGTTTCTGGAATTACCTTATGGTAAAGGCAATTATGTGCTGCATTTTAACAAGGTTAAAAGCATCCACACCCAAATACTGACTCAAGGAGACTCTGGGCCCCACAAGACCTTGTGAGTTTCAAATGTACATATAAATGTTATACTTTGGGGGTTAAAATGTTTTATTTACAAATGAGCAAAGAATGATTGATCTTGATGAAAGACATTTAAACAGAACCCTAGCTGATAAAAATTTCTGGCAGTAACCATCATTTGGTCAGTGTTTGATCTTCGGTAATAGAAGTAAGTTTTGATGCAGATGGTGATGATGTGGGGTGGTTTTAGATACAAGCACATTTTTTTTTTTTGCACTCCTCCTATCACGACAGAAATAACAGTAAGTAAATGCCGTCAGCTTTCTATGACATGCAACTTTTCATCCAAGCAAAATATAACATACCTAGGACCTCAAAGAAATTTAATAATGTTAGTATTCTTGTGATTTGTTAGACCTTTTCCACAAACACCTATAGAAACTATATATGTTTGCCTGGAGATTTAAGGTAACAGGCTTATACTCGCAACAAGATGAATTTTTATTAAATGTTAGGCAGACACATTGTGCTGATGCTGGAAACTGTTTCTGAGACAGTATATGTAGAATGTCTTCTATGGATATTTTCAAGACCTCTTTAAATACCTACATCTGTTTGTAAAACTTTCAGCATAGATCTGTAGGAGGCAGGTGAATGAACTATATGAACTGGGAAGACTGTACCAACTTTGGATATCCCCCAAAAAATGCAGCTGTCTATTTAAAGTATACTAAAATGACACCTTTAAGGAGCAAGGGTGGTGATGACTGGCGACTATCATAGGTTTGGCAGCAACATTTTTAGACCTACAAACATGGTTGTGAAGCTGTGTTATCCCTGTGGGAAACTATTCTTTTGAATGCCCTTTTTTTTTATTCTCCAGTAAAGAAATACAGGAGCTGTCTTTAAGATAAAACTATAAAAAGAACCTTTAAGTTCAACTATATGAGGTTCAGGCTGACATAGAGGTTCAATATTTAGTTTGGTTAATTAAATCCCATTCTTTGCCCTGAATTTAATTATTCCAACCAATGTGGTAACTTAATATAATAATAAAAAAGAGGTTAATTAGAAATAGAAGAGAATCAGACTATTTGTTCATCTGGCTCAGTGGGGGCATTTCATGAAGTGTCAGTTTATGGATGGCAATGTTTCACAGAGTATGAATTTTCAGTTAGTGAGAAAATGAAAATGAAAGACAGTAGATCATCAATGAGTGATTGTATCAGGAAATCACTAAAAAGCTAATCTGTAAAGTTCAGGGCATATTTTAAAGTGACTTCATGATAATATAGATAGTTTTTCTTTCCCTAGGTTGAGCTTAAATCATATTCTTAAGACATAATGAGTAATTCCTTGTTTAGACTTTCTATTCAAAGGTAAGAAAGCCACATATTTGCTACTTTTAAACAAAAATAAAAAGGTGACCTTTCTTTCTTGGCTGTCACTTTCAATGCAAATGATCTGCTTTCTTAATATTGCTCAAGTTCTGCAACCTCAATGTTGAGGTGCTGTGCAGTAGAATCAGACTTGGACTCAAATCACAGCTGGAAACTTGCTTGTGGTGTCAAGTTACTATTCTTATTGCGCCTCAGTCTTGTCATCTGTGAAATGAGGATAATGTTGTCTATACCCCTTGGGTTGCTGAGAATAAAGTGAGAGAATGTAGGGAATACCATACCATACCGCCTGCTTGTTACACAATAGATGCTCTGCAAATGGTGGTTCCCTGTCCTCTGAACAAGTCACAAGCCTTCTTATAAATGAATAACAGATGCTAATGTAACAACACCAAAGGTAAGGCCAAGTGTTCTGGTTTAGCCACCAGGGCAGTGCTCCTCAAACTTGAAAGTACCAGTGATTCATTCACCTGGGATCTGGTTAAATGCAGATTCTACATTTCTAACAAGCTTCCAGAAGATGCTGATACTACTGGTTGGGGACCACCACACTTTTAATAGCATGGAACCAGAACAATGACTTCTGAATATCGAACTGACTTTAAGAGACTGGACTAAGTTGTAAAATAGAATTTTACTCTGCCTTTTTTTTCCTGGTTTAATGATAAAAATAATGGGGAAATCTGAAGATGGTACATATAAAAAGTTTGAATAAACACATTTAAAAATTTGGGAAGTCAGATCCATTCTACACACTTTCATTTATTGTCTGGACAGATAAAGTACAAATAATTCAAACACAACAAGATTATGAAAAAAAAACAGTTACAATACTTTCCCTTGGAAATCATCTAAACTAGCAAGATTAACATGAAGTCATTCATTAATAACTAAAGTATACAACTGCCTGGTCCTAAGATTTTTTTTCCTTTTTTTTTCCCCCCAAGATTGAACACGTTATAGAGAAGATTTTGGCATGCCTTTTTCCCACTAATGCTTAGCAAATGCGTCAAAACTTTGCCAGCAAACTGCGTTCATTCATAGCAGGTGACGTTAAAAGATTTTCCTGAATGTTGAACAAGTGTTCTCCAAACTGAAATCTGGTGTTATATATCCAAAACCAAAAAGAGGAAAAAAAACAGAAAAAAAATTGAAAGGAGGAGTCTCTGATGCAGCCTTGGTATTCGTTATCTGTCTACCACTACAACGACTACTACAAAGTTTGCCTCTTCAGTGTGAAAACAACAGTCCTGTCTACATGCACTTAGTGGGTTCAGCATGGGAAAAAATGCACAAAATAAGCACAAGTTATAAATAACCATAACGTTTTATTACCATTAAGACTAAACTTGTATTGAAAAGATTTTATATAACAAGACAAGAAAAGCAATAGCAAATTTAACTATCAACTAGATTATGCATAGCGAGTAACTGTTTCTATTACCCAGGGAAGAGCATGAACCCTTGTATTTTTTTGTTTTGTTTTTGTTTTAAATATATAACCGTACAAAGCACAAACATACTAAAATGATCAGTGCACTGGACGTGGGAGAGTGCTCCCTCAGTCATTTTGTTCCCTTAGCTCTGTTTTGTTTTCCCCAATCTGAGTTACATTAAAATAAAGACTCAGTTGTTTTTATTTTTCTACTGTGCAGTAAGAAAAAATATTCACAACAAACATGACAATATATCAAACAATAGTTCTACACAAGTTACCTTGATACCTCTTTAACTGTCACTTAAATATCATAAGAAAACATTTTAAGACATATACAAACAAAACTAGCCAAGTGTTACAACTTATAATAAATTAACCCAAAGAAAAAAATAACTTTATATATATATATTTATATTGTATATACACATACACACACAACAGAATGACACAATAATATGCTTCTTCCCATAGTTTAAGTAAACAAATAAGTAGTCTAGCCAATCTAGCTATATTTGATCTCGGCCATAGGCATCATCACATCTGCGATTAAATAAATAAGTGTTTCAAGCAACATAAACAGTGGTTTCAAATGTACCAACACAGCCCAATTCTATCAGCATGGGCTACAAAGTGAATTTGAAAATTTCTTAATGAATTTAAAGCAAATGTATCTTTTGTTTTCCTCTCCTAAACACATTACATTTAACTATGATACTAAGATATGTAAATAATTTTGTAGCACCTACTGCTCAAACTAAGGAAGTTTTAGATCAAAAGGAAAATTAATCTTTTTAATTTTTGTTCTGCTGACATCCCATACTGATGACTTAAAGAAAAACTGTCTTTCAACTCATCTCCTTGCTTTTGGGTTTTGACTGTGGGGAACTGTGGTACCCTGGGTAGAACGAACACTCCTTTCCCCTAGTAATTAATAATTGTTTTTTAATTATTATTACATGCTATGAAAAGATATGAAGATCATCTGTTTATAGCCCATCCTTCAAAAAACAGTCTACGAATCCAGTTTAAAACACACATCTTGATCTCTAAAAAGTTACCAGTGCAGTATGAACGCGACAAAGTTGTCAATTTCCCCTAAATTAGCCAGTCAAAATATTTTTTTCTCAAATCCAGATTCTCTTGTAAAAATTCTTTATATTTTATAAAAATAGATTTTTCTTGAAACCCATTTTCAGCAAAGAGACCACCTCTTTGGCAACAATGTTAATGTTATTAAATTGTTAATGTCATCAGGTATCCCCCTTGCCCCCATCCCCTAACAGAAGACTGTTTTAGTTCACATGATATAAAAGAAAAAAGGAAAAATAAAAAAATTTGCAAAAGTTGTTTTTTTTTTTTTTTTGCAATTTTTATTATTCCTCTTTAATTTGTGTGGGGGTTTTTACCAATCTGATTGGATCAACATTTTGACAAAAAAGAAAAATCTTTTTTTCCTTTCTTTGAATCCCATTACTTTGTAAAAATTGTTTCATTTTTATTATTTTTTTTGTTTTTTGTTTTTCTTCTTCAAATGAGCGAATGGTCATCTTAAAAAGACCCACCTTCAAGGAAGGTAGTAAAGTTAGCTGGCTGGGTAAAAATCCCTGCACATCGCTATCTATGTATATTATATTCAACAACGACAGCTATGAAAGAACATTCAATGCATCAAAGGTATTTTTTTGTTTTTTTTTTCTTTTTTTTCTAAGCATTATAAAATCCTTTCCTGGTACACCTCAGGATAATCCAATGTTTTAATACTTAGGCAACACTGGCTTATAAAGTCCATGGTTGAATATAAGCCTTGTAAAGTTTGTTTCTCTCTCTTTTGTGTATGTGTGTGTGTGCGCGCATGTGTTTTGTTCGTATATATTTATATATATATTTTAGTAAATAAGAATGGGAAATTCAGGACTTGTGGGCTTTGTTGGTTTTAAAGGAAACTTGCAACACTCTGTCTCCCAGGCGGTACCCGTTGAGGCTGGCAATGGCCATGGCCGCCTCATCATAGTTGGTCATGGTGACAAAGCCGAATCCCTTGCACTTGTTGGTGTTGAAGTCACGGATCACTTTGACATTGTTCACTGCTCCAAAGGGGCCAAAAAGCTGCCAGAGGACGCTCTCATCAGAATCAGGGGACAGGTTGTAGACAAAGATGCACCACCCAGTTCCTGTGTGACCAGGGATGTTCATTCCTACAAGGCTTGTCATTCCATCAATGGTAATTGGGGAGAACCTGGGGGGACAAGCAGAAGGGGGGACTGGTCCAGACATCAGTCTGACCAAGGATAACACACAGATGCACAGACACAGACACGGGGCAGAGGGCTAAGTGAGTGTTTGCAGGAGAGTCTTCAGGGTTCAAAAACCAAAATGTAAAAACTAATGTCTATGGCATTTCCTCTGATGGGAATGGCTTGATTGGCTGGGGCATGTTCATGCTGAGAGAAAGACCTAGGTCAATTTCTAAAAACCATGAGGGACTTTCAGGGCTCCCAGAGCAAGGCTCTAAAATAGTTCTATCACAGTATATGCTCATAGAGCACCCCACCCTGACTCCACCCCACCCCCAACAACAGACTATGTGCTCTTGGGGGAAAGGGTCTATTTCATTCATTCTGTGGCTCTATTAGTTTATTCAGTGGAGCACATATGGGAATCTCACAGATATAGTGACACATAGAAAATGCTCAATAAATATTTATTGGTTGAATAAGTGACTAACTTTGGCCAGTACTTGGGAAATTTTATTTTTTCTTAAGGTGGATTAGAGGATGACCCTAAAGTGCTTAAGTCTACCATTTTTGCATTCCCTTGACCTATGGTTGTCAAAGATTTCTTGGTGAGGATGGAGATATACGACAATGAACAGCCATGTCTTGCTATTAAACAGATGGGTGGCTCATGTTTCATTTAGCATTTATTCAGAAGGGTTGCCCCCACAAATGCAGGCAATAAAAATAAAAACATATCACTCCTTTATGCTGTGTTATCCGGAATTTATTTCTAAGCAGCATTGGAGCAAGATTTCAAGTGGTTTGTGCACTTATATATCTTGAATAGCTGCATATTAGAAAAGAATAAAAATTGTTATTTGCCCTATTGCAGCTGCTTTTATATTAGGCCTAGGAATCTTCTCAGTTTTTGTGTAATCCTGAAAAGAAAAAAAATGACCCTTTAGATTCTATTCACTGTCTGATAAAATAAATCCTTGTGTGATTTGAGATGGATGCATTAGATGAAGCAATTAGGTTTCCAGTGCCTACAGCAGAACATTTGTTAACGTTTTGTTTCATATCAAGCTTATATAGGGATTTTTTTCTTTTTTTTTTTTTTTTGAGACAGAGTCTCTCTGTCACCCAGGCTGGAGTGCAGTGGTGTGATCTCAGCTTACTGCAACCTCCGCCATCCAGGTTCAAGCAATTCTCTTGCCTCAGCCTCCCAAGTAGCTGGGACTACAGGCATGTGCCACCATGCCCAGCTAATCTTTTTGTATTTTTAGTAGAGATGGGATTTTGCCATGTTGGCCAGACAGGTCTTAAACTCCTGACCTCAGGTGATCCACCCACCTTGGCCTCCCAAAGTGCTGTGATTACAGGCATGAACTTATATAGAGATTTTTGATGCTGTACACTGACTAGTTTCTTGCTTTTCATTTGGCCGGGATTTTACTGGGGGAAATAGGAAAAGGAAAGGAAGCAAAAACTAGGGAAGAACATGGTGTAAAGAGTGAGTTACAACTGTTCTTAAAAATAAGCAAATATTCTTATAGATTTGAAAGTCCAATTAAAGAATAGTTCTCTAACTAGAATTTGAATAATCAAATGGCTACTGAATATATGATAAATATAATAACTCAATAGATAATATTTTTGCTATTATTTACTAAGTCAATCTTCCCTCTCGTTTAAAAACAATTAACAAGAAAAAGCCAAAAAATATCATGGTACAGATTCTAGAACTGCAAATCCATGTCTATTTGTAACTTTTATCATTTCTGGATTGACTTTTCAACATTTTCTCCTCCAACCAGGTGAATTGACCTGAATTGACCTCTTTCTGTTTATAGATAGAAAACAGCTAAGTATTTATTAAGTATTAAGTCAAAAGTCAGGGCCAGCAAAGAGATTGCAAGTACAGCCTCTATCCTAGTTGGTGGTAGCTAATTGCAGCATTTTGAAAGGAAGGATTCTAAATCCAAATCTGGGTTCAATAGGAAAAGAGAATGCTATTATCAACTAGTGATGTCTACTCTGGCTGGGGCAGCGGAGGAGGTGGTGGCAGGTCTATTACAGCTCTGTCTTCCCCTATCTTATTTATGTTATAAGCACTTCTCTTTTTATAACATTTAGAACTACCTCACTAAAGTCAGAGAGGAGCAAAGGAATGAGATAGAGCTAAGAAACATGTAAAATGCCTGAGAACAGGCAAACAGTGTGCTAGACATGTGGAGATAATTCATAGTTATCCTCACTGATGCTGGGATTGAGATTTGAGAGGCTGGTCCTCTGATAGTGAAGTCTGCAGTCAGGTTACTTCCTCTACAGTGCACCAGTTCCCAGAGTCAGGGTACTTACCATGCATAGCCAGTGAAAGAACTGCCTAGTACAAGGAGTGTGATGTGGACTAGTAAAGACCACATTTCTTTCCCTTGACTGTCGGAAGGGGAATTAAAGTGTGCAGCTCTAC